GAATATTGGTGAAATCTAAAAGTAGTGGCTCTGACGCTTGGAATGTAGCATGCATGATAACCATGTTCCAATATCTCAGGGGCTGCCACAAAGAAGAGGGAGTCAAACTATTCTCCAAGGCAGGGCAAGAAACAATGGGTGGAAGCTAGTCAAGGAGAGAAGCAACTTAGAACTGAGGAGAAATTTCCTGACAGTTAGAACAATTAATCAGTGGAACAGCTTGCCTCCAGAAGTTGTGAATGCCCCAACACTGGAAGTCTTTAAGAAGATGTTGGATAACCATTTGCCTGAAACGGTATAGGGTTTTCTGCCTAGGCAGGGGGTTGGACTAGAAGACCTCCAAGGTCCCTTCCAATTCTGCTATTGTATTGTACTGTACCGGATACAGTTGTTACATATGCAAATGGGATAGGAGTGCAAGATAATTGCATTATATTTAAAACAAATGGCCACCCCAAAGAATTTGGTTCCAGGGCAGAACAATGTGGCACAGGAACTGTTTGTTGACCTATCAAAGATAATTTTTGCCCCTGCTTTACATAAAACTCAGACAGCTGAAAAATGTGAAAATGATGAACAAGGAAGCTGTAGGTTTTTGTTATTTCGAGACAGATGTTTTTAAGAACAACTGATGCCAAGATTAAGGATGGCTTTTTATTGGTCTACAGATCAGATATGTCATCAGTGACAGAGGTGTGAAGATCTAAGTGGGATCAGAAAAAAAGTATTTGAAAATGCTGTCAGGGAGATCTTTGAGAATTTTTTTGGCAACTATAGAGCATCAAACTACAGTCAGCTGGTTGATAAACTTCTTACAACATACAAAACCACGAAGTACAACAGTCACTGAAGATTCATTTTCTGCATTCACACTTGGAATTCTTTCCCAAAAAAATCTAGGTGCAATCAGTGACAAACATGGTAAAGGTTTTCACTAAGACATTGCCACAATAGTAAAATGATATCTGGACAACTGTAAAGCTGACACAGTATTGTAGTGGTAACACACTCAATTATACTTATTTTGTCTGTATTGCAGGCATGCTGTGCATAAATTAGAACATGTCTAAAAAATTATGAGTTTTAGAAGGTTTTTTTAAAATTGAAATGGAAACTTTCTGAAGCTACTAAGTATGTTTCCAATTAGCATAGTCATCTCTAAATCTGCCTAGATATTTGGCTACATTGCTGGGAAAGGTTGGTACCAGAGATGAAATCCTTGCTACTCCATTTTTAAAACAATCACCCAAAGAGCAAACTTTATACAGGTTTGAAACTTTAAACAAGTTTAGAAAATCTTCTAGACCGCATCTCTGTGTCA